GGCCACCTTACCCACATGGGGGAACACTTGTGAAACCATCTAGAGCAGGAGACACCTGAGCTGGCCTGGAAGCATGAGAGATGGTTTGATGAAGGAGCAACCTCAACAATCTTGACCGTCGCAGTCTAAGGAAAGACCTGGGTGTGACCTGGGCTGCCATGAAATGTTGTGCAGACATCCAGCCAAAAGTGAGTGGAGGCCGAACTTCCACAGAGGCCCATGTGGGCGGCTGCTGCCCTGGTGTGACAGAAGGATTCTCACCTTGGAACCGCCCGCCCTCACATTCAATAATTTCTCCCTTTCCTTTACCTTGATCTCTCTGCCTCTCCCATTCTCTTTTTTCCCAGCTACTTCCTTTAGACTACCTTAAAGCAATTATGTTCTTTTTCCTTCCGACTTTGGCACATGTCTATCCCTCTCAGCCACACACACAATTTCTATCTCTGCCTATCCACTAACTCATTTAATTTCTAAGATAATTCAAAAGTAAGAATAGGAAACATTAATTTCATAAACAGTGTCACCGTTGACAATGATACACTCGGTTAAGGTGGGAAAAGAAGAGAAGTAGATGGGAAGTAGAGACTAGCTCACTAGACAGATGTGAAGAGAAAGACAACAGAGACAAAGGCAAAGGCACAGGGAAGAACCCCCGAGGCCTCACTAACAAGTTATCATAAGCTCACTTTGTGCATGGGGCTTCTAGGGTGATTCCCATACATGTGATTGGAACTGGGTCAGCTTTTGCCCTGATCCCAACCCTGCTTTCTGGTTCAGGATTTCTGTGCCTGAGGCTCCAGGCTTGCTGAGAAATGAGGTTGCAAAAAGAGTTCGAAGGCATTTACTGCTAGTCCTCCCACCCCTCGAGCTTCGAATCAGGACAACCAGCAAATGCCTTCTAGCCCCTAAGCAGGCATGGAGCTGCTGAGCAGGGATGGGGTGGCTCATGACAGCCCTGTTCCCTCAACTTCCATCAGCCCAGGCAAACATTCACTAACAAGAAAATCACCAGAGAATAAGCAACTGCAACTGGAGGATGTCAGACTCTGCCCACAGATATCTCTTTAGTCCTTAAAGCATTACCATCTGGTAAGAATGACCTCCAATGACAGATATAGAAAAGTCACTTTTTCAAAGTCATACAACTATTAAGAAACGGAGCCAGGATTCAAATCCAGGTTAGTCTGACCCAGGGCCTATGCCCATCTGCTCAACACATTGCGTCCCCTAAGCAGCAATGCAGCAACACTCATTGAGCATCTGCTGTATACAGAGCACAGTGCTAAGTGTGCTAAAAGAGGCAGAAGCCCCAAATCCTCACCTGATGGGAAGAAGTGATTGAGGTGGGAGAAAGCACACATGAAGCTAATCAGCATCTTTTAAATGCCTCCCATGAAAGCAGGTAGAGAACACACTCTTGCAAGTTGAACTTTGGATCAGGGGAGGGGTGCTGAGTGGAGGAGTGGGTGTTGCAAGGGAGACGTGAATCATGCAAGCCCTCCCGGAGGATGTGAAATTAACCCAAGGGTAGTATGAGCAACTCCAGGCAGAAGGACCGACACACTTGAAAGCCGGGCAATGAGAATCAGGCATCTTGTGGAGAAGGCAGAAAAGCAGTCTGCTTTGGGGAGCAGAGAGAAGGGACCTTTCTGAGGGTGGTGCCACTTCTGGGGTGAGGAGAGTCTTCTGAGAATTTCAGTGCCACGCAGGGCGGAGGTGGAGGCAGTTAATTTGCTATATTAGGCAAGCAGGAGCAGTGGGCTGGTTCTTTACCAGGGTGAAATGTGAGTGGTATCTGATAAAGTGCGAATGATGTCTGAAGGAAGTTGTTCTATCAGGCATCCGTGTTAGCAAGGACTAGTTAAAATATATCCAGGAAGGATGACCAACCCGAACTTGAGTTGGGTGGCAAGATTAGAAAGAACTTCTAACAATCTCAATGACAAAATCGTTATTGTTTAAAAATCGAAACTTTAATTTTAAAATTAAACATATCTTGGGACAGTGGATATTTTATAGGGTGAAATAAATATTTTGCAATTAATCAAATTTTATTTTCTTATAGTCATCCTGACTCGTGTAAGGTAAAAAGGACTATAATGCAGATTTTAGAAAGATGAGTCAGATAACCAGGGGAAGTTCAATTCTTGTGACCTGAGCAAGCGTCCTGTTCATCTTCATTCCCATTATGATAGTAGGGTTTTCCCCCCTCTTCTAAATTTACCTCAGGAGAGGCAAAGGGCTTTTATGGGACCTTCCAATGGTTAGTAATGCATAAGTAGTTTAAAAAATACAATCACTGACTGAAATAAGTTCCACTCAAGGTCCAAGCCCCGGCTTACCTGAACTGCCAATGCTGAGCTGCAAAAGGGGCCCCCACAACCAGAAGTATCTCTCCCACAGGCCTGGAGGCATCGCTGAGCTGGAAGTCTCAGAGCTGGTATGAGGAAAACCCCTAATGTCAGAGAGATCCTGTAACTCACCAAACACCCACTTGGGTCTTACTAATCATTAACTGGCCTCATGACCTGTGAGAAAAAAATAAACTCTTCCTATTTGTTTAACCTTCAGAGTTTTTGGTTTCTTTTTCTCAATGAAAATAAATACACTTTCCTTTTTTTTTTTTTTAAACCAGGGGACATTGAAACACACTGTCCTTCCTCTCTGAGCCAAAAACAATCAGGAAGTGATTTCCTGAACCTCTCCCACTTCCCATTATGTTAGTAATAATCATGGCAGAAGTCTTTCATCTCTAGGTGGTCACAAAACCCTCATTGTACTGGAATTATCTGTGGACGTGTTTGTCTCCCTAGGGAGACTGAGCAACTTAAAGGCAAAGAGCTTCTCTTCGTTTTTGACTGCCCAGTGCCTAGCGCACAGCCGAGCCAATAACACATGCTAAGTGCACATTGAGTGGACAGACGGAAGAAGACGAAGGTTGCCTTTGGCGCGTACTATTCTTTCACAGAATCTTGGGGCTAGAACTAAAGTCCAACCTTTAAGAAGAGATATTCAACTTTCTGAATTCATGAATAAAGAAGCTGGGTAGTAGAAAAAGAAAATGACCTATACAGATCCTGTTGGTGGAAGTGGCACAGGTGGGCCTGGAGCTAGGGTGGTTCCAGTGCACCATGTGACCTCTTCAACCAAAGGAGTGGCAGAAATCACAGGGACTATTTCTAGGCATGTTGGGGGGAGCAGGTATAGGGCAGGACACTTGCCTGGCACTTCCTAAATCATAACATGTTGATGAGAAGCAGACAGCTCACTGGCAGGGCCAGAGTTATTGTTATTTCTGAACAATAACTCTGGGAAGCAAGTACTATCCACATATGTGTCTTACATAGCTGCTAGGGCATAGAGAGGGTAAGTAATTTGCACAAGTTCATGCAGAGCTGGGATTTAAAGCAGAACAAGCTAACCCCAGAATCCATGTTCTGAACCACTACACTCTACAGCAACACGGCACTTGGCTGAAGACAAGATAAAAGAATTTTGGAGAGGCCAGTTCTTCCTTCCCCTTGGGCACATGATTCCAAAGCTCAAGTGCTGCTGCCACCAGGAAGGACCCTGGCAATAAAGAGGGCACAGCAGGAGTCACTACCAAAGACTGTTCTGATGTCAGAGACCAAGCCAGGTTTATTAGTTAGGTCCTCGGAGAAGAAGATGCCAGGGTGGGACTAGATGTGCAAGAGATTTATTTGGCTAACATCTGTGAAGAATTAGGGGTGCCAAAAATAACAGGGAAAGCTGTTAGATCGTGGTACAAGTCTGCCACTTGCAGGAGAGTGGGAAGGAGAGAGAGGACCTACATGGGAACAGTCTTACACAGCAGCACAGGTCCCAGAATATTCTGGCCAGGCTGATGGGGAGGCCTCAGGCCAAGTCTCCTGTTAGAGCAGTCCCAAGTCTTGCAGGAAAGGGCTGGGGTCAGTCTCAGCACTGAGACAGAGGTGGATTCAGCAGGCAGCAGCTGGAGCCAGCAATCAGCCATGTTCCTGCCAGCAGGAGCCTTGAGGGCTGCATTTTCATGCCACCCACACTGGCCAGAGGTAGTTAATCCAGGGCACTCTTGTGTGTGGCATGCACACAGCTGACATTTAGAGAGCACTTTTCCTTTCACCTTCATCATCCAGTGTGGTGCTTTCCAAGTGGGTCGGAGTGGTCCCTTCCAGGACCACCTGCCTCAGAATCATCCAGGGGATGTAGGACAGATTGCTGGGCCCACCCCAGACACACGGAAAGAGAGTCCTTGGGATTGGCCCCAGGACCCTGCAGTACAAACTGCGCATCTGGTGATTGTGAGCATGCTAAAACCACTAGTCTTCCATTAATCCTTACTATAGCCATCTCCATTTTCCCAATGAAGAATCTGAAGTTCAGGGGCCCGGGGACACTGCTTGAGGGGGCCGAGGAAGTGGGATCTTCCTGGAAAGTGAGATTGTGTATTTTAGAAGGTGAAGATAGAGACCCTTCTACCAGGAGACACTGAGGGAGACCCACTTATGCTCAGTGCATACTCTCCATCTCTCCCGAGGAGTAAGCCAGCCACAGGTGGGCAGAATCCCAGCCCGCTTGGCTTACTGAGGCATCCCCAGGGCCTACTACCATGCTTGACACACAGGGAAGGCATTGGACATCTGGTAAGTGTGCTGGTGGCTCCCCACCCCAGTCATTCAGAGAAAGGCTCCTAGTCACCCATTTTAAAGTGGAACTAGATGGTTTTATTTGCCTAGGAGCTGGGTACACAGATAGGCAGGCAAGCAACCAAGGACTTGACTCCAATATTCCCTGCTCATTGCTCCCTGCCTGCTCAGAGCCTAGAACAGTGCCTGACATGTAATAGGTACCCATTAAGTACCTATTGAGAGGGAGAGAGAGAAAGAGAGGAAGGGAGGGGGGGAGGAGAAGAGAAGGGAAGGGGGAGGAAGACCTACAGGCAATCACTGTGGAATCCACTGGATCGCTTTCAGCCTTCCCCATCTGCCTGGTTCTAGATCAGAATCCCAGCCTCCTCACCTTCTTTCAGGATCCCTAGCTCACAGTTCTATAAATGAAATTTACTGATTTATTTTACAGAGGGAGAGGGGAGGAATGGTACATCACTGCCTTCAGTGTGTGTGTAGGGGGTGGGGGTTAGAGCTATAAACATCTTAGGAAATAATAATTCTAGACCTCACCAGTTTATGCCTACAAAATAAGGTCACATTAATTTTTTAAAGTGTTTTTAAATAGTTCTACATGCATATGCTTTAAAGAAAATCAAAAAGTACAAAAGCATATGGTGAAAAGTAAATCTCCATTCCCCCTCCTGCCCATTCCCCAGACCCTGTAGAAGGCAGTCAGTGTCACCATTTTCTTGCATACCTTTCTAGAGATACTCTATCTTACCTTTTTGGATTTTTACACACTTGCTGACTTACTACGCAAACTCTTTTGAACCTCGCTTTTCCCTAAACAAAATACTCTGAAGCTGCCTCTTTCTTTAAGATTTCATAGAATCACATTGGATAGAATGTGTCATGGAATTTTAGTGCCCAACCCAAGATGGCTCAAGCCCCTATCCTACTTGATTTTTAGGAAGTCCAGTCTTTTGCCAGGTTCCTCTCCAATGTGAAGTGAAGAACATGATTTGGGGCTCTCCACTCCTGATGTCCTGTGCATACTGCACATGAACACCTGTGTGTGCACAGACATATACATGCACACATGCACATGCATGTGTGCACACACACACACACACGAACAGGTCATAATATACGAGTATAGTGTGGGACAGTTCTCAGGTGGCCTTGGACCAACCCAGTTCTCCCACCATTCTCACTTGCAGTTCTCAAGAATAATTGTAGAATCTGCTGGAAATACAACATCCTGAGATAGTGGGGAGCTGGCCAGAATAGCCTGGACTCTGTTCCAGTCCCCCACCCTATGCTCCCCAGAAAGAGGATGTTCTTCAGCACTTTAACATAGTGAATCATGTTCCCGGGAATCATGTTCCCGTCTGCCTTCCAGGGTCCCTCAGCTGTGGTGCAAGCAGGGTGCATGACATGAGACTCCGTTTACCCCTGGCAGCTTTCCTGAGCCTTGGGAGACTCTAAGCCTTCTGTTGTCCCTGCTGCCCAGCTGTAAGTAGGAAGCCCACTACATGTAACTCGTGTGTTGGGGTATTCTGTCTCACTGGACTCAGACAAGTTGGTACCCAGTGCACAGGACCCTGCCTCACACATAGGACAATCTAAACCCTTATGATGAAAAAGAACATTTCATACACCAAGCCACAAAATTTTAGCTTTCATTTGAGAACATCTATATTTTGTCTCTGCTTTCTCAGAAAGAATAGGTGGAAACCTGCTTCACATTTGCCCAGACAAAAGGCCACTTGTGGTTTTGCCAGAACAGAGATGCTGTGTGTCCCCTAAGTGACTCCAAGCCTCCAAGTGTTGAGAGTGACTGAAAACAGTTTGTAGCTTTTAAATGGCAGTTTGATACTAAAATTCTATGGTTTAGTGTTTGTTCCCTGAGATCTCCTAACTTTGAGTAGAATTGTGAGCCTTACGGGCTTATCATTGTGTGTGCAGTACGCCAAGGTGGTGCCGTGAGAAGGTTGAAGGGAAAGAAAATCCCGTGGGCCCCCTGGGTTGTGTCAAAAGTTTCCCAAGTGGTTGAAGAAACTGGCTGGAGGTGATCCATCTAGGGGTTTCCCTGAGTCTCTCATTTCACGACAGGCTGGTGGAGAGAAGACACTAGATACATTTATTAGCCCCATTTTACGCATGTGGAAACACAGGCAGAGTGAGGTTAAATTAACTTCCCCCAGGCTACACAAAGTGGCAGAGTGAGGATTTGAATCTGAAAAACTGCCCCCAGTGACCATGTTCTCATCCACTACACTACACCACAACCCTCAAGGTAGGCATTATTAACCCCAGCTTACATTAGTTCTTAGTAACCTGAGGCTTGCAGGGGTCTGGTAGCAGAGCTGGGATTCAATGGCAACTCTTTGCAGAATATCAGAGTTTGCCTTTTCTCAGGCCTAACTGCACGGTAATTACCATGTTCCTGCAACAGGAAAGAAAATGCACATCTGTGCAGGGTGCCCTCCTTCCAGGTCTCCTAGATTCAGGGCTGGTGGAATAAGAGGCACCCTCACCCCAAAACATCACCTCCAGTAGATCAATCTCCAGTGGAAATCATCCTGCTGGAGATTCATTTGTTTGCTCAAGGCATGGTTCCCAACTTCATTCATTCAGGTCCTACCTTCCTATTCTGCCACATCCACTTATCACCTGTACTAACATGGACTTAAAGTATTTATTTAAACAAGCTGTAATGAGTGTATTTTAGAAGGAAGATTTATATTAAGAGGATACAACCAGCCCCTGAAGTGGGCTGACAGGTGGACTGTGTCACCTCCACCTGCTGGCATCGGCAGTGGGGGAGGGTTGTCCGTATACCAGCCAAAATGATGGGAAACACTGGTTTTGAAGCAAGGTCCTCTATTAATAAACACAAACTTCTATCTGCTGTTCTGTAGATTGGGAGAGACCTAAGGGTTCTTTCTCTGATTCTGTCTCCAACTTCCAACAGCTCCATTTCAGACTCATGTTCTTTGGGTGTTAGAGTTGAAAGTCCATGGGATCCAAGTCCAGAGACCCTGAGATGGAGGCATTTGCTGAAACCACCCAGCTAGTACAGGTGATGACACTGAGGCCCATAAAGGTGAAGGAGACCCTTGGCAAATAGGAACGGTGACCAAACAGTGTGGAGAGAGAAGTTCAGTTCATAGCCCATGCATTGGGGGTGGGGGGGGTCTCCTTGGTGGCCAAGGGGGCAGAATGAGGGCAGAGGAAAGGGAGGCTCTCTGGGGAGGGGAGAGGTGTTGAGAGGAGAGTGAAGATATGCTGCCCATTCACAGTTTTACCAGGCCCAGCTCTGCCCCTCCCTGCCCCTGCTGCCGAACACGGATCTCAACCCACACAAGCTTTCCTGTGGGCTCCACCACTTCGCTGTGGGAAGAAGGAGTGAACACAGGCTTGCTGCATCACCACCTCACACCGTCCCGACTCTGTCTAAGGAATGATCTAATACTTACAGCTAACAATGAGAGTGGGGTAGAGCGCATGCGAAGAAAGACGGCTTTTGAGACTGTGATACAACAAGAAATGTATATTTGGCCTCTGCCCTCAATTCCTGGTGCCACACTCCTAAAACCCTTGTAGATAGGGGTGCTAGGAGAATCTTTTGTTCCAATATTTGGACTTTGACCCTAGTTCCTGACACAGAGTTTCTAAGACATTTGAAATTTCCTGACGGGAGCATCTCACATAGAGTTCTTAAATCCCTTGGAATTTCCTGGGTGATAGGAGCATCTTTTGTCCTCATGAGGCGACTCTTGGTGGGCTCCTGGGCAGCCCCAGGATGGGGACTGGTTGCCAGGGGAACCAGCCATGTGATTAGAGGATTGGGATTTTTAGTCCCACTCCCTGACTTCTGGGGAGGGGACGGGCTAAAGGTTGAGTTGACCACGAATGGCCAATTATTTAATCAATCACGCCTATGTAATAATCCCCTATAAAAACCCAAGAGGACTGGGTTTGGAGAGTCTCTGGATAACTGAACACATGGAGGTTCCTGGAGGGTGGCGCATGGGGAGGGCATGGAAGCTCCGTGTCCCTTCCCTGACACCTCACCCTGTATATCACTTCATCTGTATCCTTTGTAATATCCTTTATAATAAACAGGTAAATGTGTGTGTGTGTTTTCCTGAGTCCTGTGAGCTGCTCTACCAAATTAATAGACTCTGAGGAGGGGGTGTGGGGCCCCCAATCTATAGCTGGTTGGTCAGAAGTTCCAGGGGCCTGGACTTAACGACTGGAATCTGAAGTGGGGGGCAGCCTTGGGGACCGAGCCCTCAACCTGTGGGATCCGACATTATCTAGCGTCAGAATTGAATTAAATTAGCTGGTGTCCATTGGAGACCTGCATGGTATGTGGGGAAACAAGCCCCACACATCTGGTGTCAGAAGTGTTGAGTAGGAAAAACATGTTGGTTTGTCTTTTTTCTTATCTCTTATAGAGACAAACAGACCTGGTTAAGTTTAAACCCCAGCTCTACTTCGTCCTAGCTCTGTGACTTTGGACAGATGGCAACCTCTCGGAGCCCAACTTCTTCATCTATTAATGGGTTTTTGTAAACTGTCTGACAGGCAACACTCTTCCTCCTGTTCCTTCCCCTTCCCCAAATGGAAGGAGCCTCACCTACTCCCTCGGTGTCACTCTTCCCAAGCCCCAAGCCCCAAAGATGAAAAAAAGTGATGGCAAGGCATGCCCAGTCCCTATCCGAATACCCCTGGATCCTTAGCCAGCCCCCAGGCAGCCATTGCTTGAGGAGCTGGTTTAGGAGGTGGGTTGGATTGTGAAGTCATAAGAGTCTCCATCCCTTTCTACTAACACCCCAGTAGCTCTGTGGCTGTTTAAAAAAGATGCAAGTTTACATGCTCCAGAGAGGTACAAAAAGAAGAGTAAATGGAGAATTTGATGGTTGGAGAAGCTTGGAGAAGGGTGGATGAGGCCAGTGCTAATTTTGTACATCTTAAAAAGAAAATTAGCACCAAGATCTCTAGACAACATCTAGCAACCTTCGGTAACAAAGAAACCAAATGAAGCACCATCACACAGCAGGCCAAAAAGGCATCATCAATCCCTCTAATGTTACATATGACTTATTCTGTTCTTCAGTACACATGTATTAACTTGATAAGCATGACAAATTCATACTACATATCAGACCATTTTTATTGATTTACTTTAACATTAGGCATATAATTTTTATCTTTTCCCCCATTCATTGTCATCTTCCCTCCTCTCTCTCACACACAGCCTCCCTCACACACTCACATGTGCACACACACACACGCGCGTGCACACACACACACACACATACACTAGCACTCACGCACACACACACACACACACATACACTAGCACTCAGTCAAGAGAGAAGGCAGAGCTCACGAGCCCAGATGCAGGTGACAGGCAGAAGTGGTGATGGGACTGTGCGCGTGCACACACACACACACACATACACTAGCACTCAGTCAGGAGAGAAGGCAGAGCTCACGAGCCCAGATGCAGGTGACAGGCAGAAGTGGTGATGGGACTGTGCAACTGTTCTCTGCAAATTGCTTTTATTTTCTCAGAGAAATAGGAGGCAAGGTCACCAGCTGAGAGTGAAGTCTGGGGAGAAGGTTTGAAAAAAAGGAGTCTGAAAGCCTAAACGCTTTTTGAAGTGTGCCTGTGATGGAGAGAGAATAGGCAAAACAAACATAACAAGATCTCTGAAGAATCTTTTCCTGCTGCCTATGATTGTAGCTCAAGCCCTACCCCAGAAAACAACAAACGCTAACACATCTCTCCCCTCCCCTGCACACATCCTCCACCACATTCTCAAGAGACTGGAAGGACTTGGAAAAACAAAGTCCTATAGGACTAACTAGGAGGCACGGGACTGCTGTTGTAAGACGTACCTTGCCCTCCCCTCCCAGCTGAAAACCAGGGATCTGAAGGAGAAATCATGAGAGCCATAGTTCTGTGGTTTTCCTGAAAGGGGAAGTAAGGCAGTGCTCTCCCTTTCCCCTGACAACAAGCCAGTGGCAGCAGGTCTCCAGGCTGACTGAGGGTGACCAACTGAAGGTAACAATGGCATCTCATTTCTGAGTGGGATGTCTGCTGGGCAGTGTGCACCTGAGACTGACCCAGATGATGCACAGTCACCACACAACAGGATCAGTGTGGTATCAGGGAGAGGACAGAAGGCTGTGGGTGGAGTAGGAGAAGGTGGCCGAGGGCCTGAACCATCAGCAGGTCCCACCTAGGAAGTTCTACTTGAGCTGGGTCTGGAGGATGAGTAAGAATTTACCAGGTGGAAAAGGAGAGGAAAGAACATCAAGAAATGAAGAAAGGGGGTGATATATTCATTGGAACATGATCAGCAGTCCGGCATGATCAATTCATAGTTTGTAAAGATAACTTTGGAGGGTAATGAGGGAGGCATCAGACAGGAGGCTAGTTAACAACATTCATTTATTGTATACTGACTGAGTGTGTATTGTATGCTCATGCATTGTACTAGGTTCTGTCTACAGGAGAACACAGACAAGCAGATAGACAATAACAAAACTGGTAACATGACAAGGAAATTACCAAGAGCAGCAAGGAGAAGCATCTCCCCAGACTTGAGTAGCTTGGATAGCAGGAATCCAGCCAAAAAATACTCAGTGCAGGAAGGTAAAAAAGGTGATGGATTCAAAGTATATTTAGGAGGTAGAACAGTCCAGCAGATGTTGTTAGGACCCCACATATACCCCTCACTGTTCCTAGGCACCTTACAGCTTGCCACCGCACACATCTCTGAGTCTTCATCTGAAGACATTCATCTTTGGCTTGCACAAAAGGCAAGCCAAGAAGGACCAGGGAGTTGGCATCTCTGGGAGTGGTGCTCAACTAAAGTCAGATGAAAGTCAGTGGGTAAATTCCGCAGGTCTGCTTGCCCTTCGGGTGGGACAACTCTGAGAATTGCCTTAGGCAAAGGGCCCAGATGGGCTGACCCCAATTGCCCACAGGAGAAACCTGCTCATTGACACACCCTACCCTGGCTCCCTTCTCTCCCCAGTCTCACTTCCTCATTCTCCTACCAGTGTTTCCTGGAATCACCTCCTAAATAAACTACTTGTGCTCAAACCCACTTTGGGGAGCAGGGAGTGGACCCAATCTAAGACAAACAGGAAACACTTAGTGAACAATCACATAATGTAAATGAAGACTCAAATATTAGACTATGAGATTTCTAGTTTGGGAGACACTGACTCCATCAACTGAGATAAAAGACTTCATTATAAGAAGAGTGATAGATTCAGGGAGAACAGGATGAGTCTGGAAAGATTGAGCTTAAGGTGCCCAAGGGACTTGTTATCTGAAATTTCCTGAATACAAGGGTAAGACTCTTGACTTTGGAAAAAGTGAGAAGAAACTGAGCAGAAAAGGGACTACATGAAGAAACCACCAGAAATGAACATCTCCTCTCCCTAAGGGGTAATTACAGTGTCTTCCTGTGACCCAAGAGAATATAAAGCCCTACCGGTCTCTTCCAGCCGGTTTCTGTATTCCAGTTTCTCATAATTGGAAGGAATCACTCCTTTAAAACCATACATAACCCCCCACCAGCAGCCAGCAATGGCAGCTGTAGAATCACTATCTCCACCATGGAAAAAGGCTCGGTGGGCAAGCTCCTTCCAGGAGTCTCCTGCAGCAAGGATGGCATCATAGGCAATCATGGGGGCATCATGTCCACTGCTGCCGCCCCAGCCAGAGTAGCTCAGGGAGGTGTAGAACTGATCCCTCTCCTTTACATCGAAGGGCTTGGGGAAGGTAGGGGCTGATTTGCCATCCAAAAGCCCTCTAAGTTTTAGGTACTTTTCCCATTGGTTTTGGAAGTAGAACCTGTAGGAAGGGGAAAAAATCTGTAGTCAATTAAAAAAATAAAGTCAAAAGCCATAAGGAAAAGCACCAGATGAATATGTGAACAAAAAAAAAAAAATTCCAAAGATGACTTCAACTTCTTGTACTAATATCATAAACTATTTAAGAAATAAAAATGATCTCTAAGTGCCACTCATTCAATAAATTTTTGTTAAGGATCTACATAAACAAGATACTGACCCTGTTGCTAAATAAAGAAGATAGATACATATCAAGTCTAAGGGTAAAAAATAAAAGTTTTTCCTGGGTTGAAAGTAACATTACACATCACCTTTCAAGGGGGAACTTGTAGGACACCACCACTATGGGTGACTTCAGCAGAAAGCCTATGTACCTTTTTATTCTAAGAAAGAGAATGTAAAGTGAACTCACAAAAAGGGGAAGATGCGTGGCCTCACCACTTATTAATTAGCTAGTGGAAAAACCTCTCTCTCAGGCACTCTAGCCAAGGATTTCAAAATATTATGCTTGTGTCAAGACACTACTGAAAAAACAAGTTCCAGGAAAGTAGGAAGTAAGCATGAAAGTTCATCTCAGCATAGGATAACCACAAAAACGACAGAAAGCTGGAATACAGAACAGGATCACTAGTTAAGGGGGAGGCATTGCAGCTGTACTACTCATTGAAGCATCCACTTGGCTACTTCAGGGCAACCACTGCTGGAAGGAACTCGAAATCCTTCGCAGGGGGCTGGCTGTTGAAAACCACGGTGATTGCTGTGACGTCAGAATCCTAGACATTCATGTACGGTGCATGTGTGCTCACAGATGCAATCATGTTCTAGCAGGGGCAGCCATCTACAGACTCACCAGTGTTGAAGATTCTCCTCCACAAAGTAGCCTGATTGGACAATGTACTTTTTAGCTTCTGGTAGCACCTCCATCAGTCCTTTTCCCCATTGCCAGGGTGCTTTGCCATTCACGGCATAGGCAGTAAAAAGAGCAGACACAAGGGCACCGAGGTAGCCTGTTGGGTGGTGGTGGGTCATTCGGCCACTCTCGATGCTCACTTGGACCAGTGTGTCCAGCTGGCTGTAGTGAGGAAATCTGAGACCTATGCACATGGCCCGCATGGCAGCCCCGCAGCCACCCTCATGGCTGTTGAAGGGGATCCTCCAGCCGTCGGCCTTGTCCGGCTCCAGCAGCATGGCGTTCTGCACTGAGGCACCACCTGAGGAAGAGTCAGGAAGGGTGTGGGGGTCAGTGTAACCCAAACAAAGGCCCCAGCAGGAAGAAAGAGCTAAACCCTGTTTCCAAGTTTCTTTGATGAAAAGAGAGAGCCAAAAAAACACGATGCCTAATGCCCCCAAACTCCAAACCCCAACCCCACAGTGTGCCTTATTTTATATGTAACCCCTTGCATGGTAATGTTAATAATAATTGCAGCATAATGATGAATAAGCTAACTATCCTGATCAAACAATCACACATTGTCCACAATTATTGAAAATCAGTGTTGTACCCCACATATATGTATAATAAATTATCTCAAATTTAAAAATAAATAAATAAACTGTATACACCAAGGTAAAGGAAAATAATAGCAGCAGACTCAAATAGAGAGCCTTGGAATTTTTACCACTTATTACTGAGACATCACAACAACTCAAAAAAGTAAGTATAACATATTGCTCTCTTTTTTTTTTTTTTGTCTTTTGTCTTTTTCCGTGTCCAGCAACGGATCGCAACCCTCAGTGTTGCCCCCGTACCGGACCGGGGACCAGCAACGGGATTGCAACCCTCGGTGTTGCTCCCGTGCCTCGCTCAGCCAGTGAGCGGGAACCGGTCTGTATGTGGGATCCGAACCCTCGGGCGGGAGCGCCGCCGTGCTTCCCAAGCGGCGCACTATCCAGTGCACCACCGGGCCGGCCCCATATTGCTCTCTTTTTTAAATGAGTAAGGTAAGGCTCAGAGCTTAAGAAACTTGCTCAAAATCACATAACCAGCTAGTTAGTTAGTGGCCCAGTAAAATTCATCAGACTCCAAAACCCATGCCCTTAAAGAGGCCAGTAAGAACCTGACAGCTAGAATATCAGGAAGAGGCCACAAATTCTAAAGTGACGCCCTGGGCTCAGATGAGGAGCGGTGGATTTAGAGGACGATGTGCCCTTGGGGGAGTCACTGAACCTCTGGACCTTGGCTGTCCCCTTTCTGACAGGGGTGTAAGCAGGCTTGTCCCATTGACCTCCCTGCTTGGGGCACCGTGAATACACACAGGAGCCAAGCAACAGTAGCAGCGTATTATGGAGTGTTGTATTACTGTTCCCTTACTGGTCACTTTATTCACAATCATGTCCACAGGTGGACAAAAACTTCCCACTCGCCTAACATTAAATATCAGATGCTGAGAAAGGATAAGCAGAGATTGGCTGATGCCTGGGGTCACCAGAGGCCCCTGGGTATGATGTTGGGAAACTTTTCATCAGAAGGTGTTATGGGTTGAATTGTGTCCCCCACATTCATATGTTGTAGCCCTAACACCCAGTACCTTGGGTGTTTAAAGGGCCTTTAAAGAGGTGATTAAGCTAAAATGTGGCCATTAGGGGTTGGGTAACTTTTCATCAGAAGGTGTTATGGGTTGAATTGTGTCCCCCACATTCATATGTTGTAGCCCTAACACTCAGTACCTTGGGTGTTTAAAGGGCCTTTAAAGAGGTGATTAAGCTAAAATGTGGCCATTAGGGTGGGCCCTAATCCAGTCTGACTGGTGTCCTTATAAGAAGAGGAATGTGGACACACGGAGAGACACCAGGGATGCTTGCACACAGAGGAAACACCATGTGAGGACGCACCCAGAAGGCGGCCGCCTGAAAGCCAAAAAGAGAGGCCTCAAACAATAATTTACTACATGCTATCAATCAACTAGAAAAGATCAAATGTGTACATCACAAATAAATGATTAGGTTTTACAGTGATGAATATGCTAATTACCCTGATTTGATCATCACACATTGTAAATATGTATTGAAATATAACTCTGGACCTCAAAAACATGTACAATCAATATGTGTCATTTAAAAAAAGAAGAGAGGCCCCAGAAGAAACCAATCCTGCTAACACCTTGACATGGACTTCCAGGCTCCAGAACTGTGAGAAATAAATTTCTGCTGTTTAAGCACTCAGTCTATGATATTTTGTAGGGCAGCCCTAGCAAACTAATAAAGGAGGAGAGGCAGGTCAGATGGGCTGGAGAAAGGGAAAATCACCTGGTGGCCCAAGGATCATAACAAGTTCCCAAAGTGGACAAGAATCACTTCTGAACAGACCCAGGACCAGAAGAGGCATCTCTACAAAACACTTTTCATTCCTCTTAAAAAAGAAAAAAATACATTTTTCTTTATGCTTGTTCATTACAGAAAACTTAGAAAATACAAATAAGTAAAAAGGAAATAATATACTATAAATACTACCATCACCCAGGTATAATTATTAACGTCTTTGTGTATATTCTTCCAGATCTCTCCCAACACAAAGATACACATCTGTACTTTTAAGGACAATGGATTCATAACATACATACAGTTTCGTAACCTATTTTATTTCACTTAATATACACTTTTCTATATCAGTCAGTATTCATCTGTATAATTTTATTTTTTATTTCACTAATACAAAGGGTCTTCAAAAAGTTCCTGGAAATATTTGTATTATTTTTTAATTCAATTCTTCCACGAACTTTTTGAAGTACACTGACAAATCATAATTGTCTACATTTATGGGGTACAATGTGATGATTTATGTATACAATGTGGAATGACTAAATCAAGCTAATTACCATATTCATCACTTCACATCATTTTCGTGGTGAGACATTCGAAATTTACCCTCTTAGTTATTTCAAAATATGCAATACATTATTGTTGACTACAGTCACCCTGCATAATTTTAAACGGTTGCAAATGTGTCACCATAATTAAGTTATGGTACATTTAGGTTGTCTGTGTTCTTGATATTTAAATCTCCACCAACACAGTTAATGATTTCCTGGGCGTGGCTTGTTCTCCCCCTTCCCCGGACCTCCCGGTGCTGTGCTCACCTGGTGCCCGGCCGTCCATGTCTCCCATGCAGTCTTGGTAATGCTTAGCGAGGAGAGAATACAGTCGAGCCAACGTGGGAGCTTTCCCGGCTTCCACAAGGGCTTCCGCCGTGGCCAAGTGCATCACTGTGTCGTCGCTGACTCTCCACCTTCCCACGTCTATGGCGTCCAAGCCACCCAACTGGGCCAGCTGCCGGTGGATCTTCTCCCCGTCACGGAGGAACTCCCACTTTCCATTGAAGTACCCCAAGGCGTCTCCAGCTGCACTCAGCACCATGGCGGCCACGTACCTCTCAGTCCGCCCCCCACACATGCTGGGCTCGGGAGAGGCTGGGGGCAGCGGTATGAAGACGCACAAAGGGTGATGAGGAGGAAGAATCAGAAAAAACAGTAGTTCCATCTACATGTTACTGAGCACTCAGTACCTGCAGGCATTCATTGCATCTCACTTAATCCTCATAACTGCTCTGTGACGAGTGCATCATTAGGCTCATTTTACATATGACTAAATTGAGGATCATGGAGATAATGCAGTTTCAGAAATGTTAAGTGACTTTTCTCAGGTCACAGAGCTGATAAGTGGCAGGCTAAAATTCCAGCCTAGGTCCATCTGGCTCCAAAGCCCATGCTTTTAACTCTGACTGTATCTTTGCCTCACTGCGAGTGGCAAACCCGATAAATTCTGCAAGTCAGACCAAGCTTATCATTTTTTCTTTTTAGTTGGGATTTGGCCTTAGAAGTAAGTGAAGGCTTTACTTAAATAATGCGCATGGTCCCCAACTTACGATGGCCCGACTTAATATTTTTCAACTTTATGATGTGTGAAAGCAAGAGGCACTCAGTAGAAACGATACTTGAAGTACCCATACATTCTCTTTTTCACTTTCAGTACAGTATTCAATAAACTACATGAGCTACTCAACACTTTATCATAAAATAGGCTTTGTCTTCGATGATTTTGCCCAACTGTAAGCTAATGTAAGTGCTCTGAGCACACTTAAGGTAGGCTAGACCAAGCTATGATGTTCGGTAGGTTAGGTGTATTAAGTACATTTTCGACTTAGGATGAGGTTATGTCCGGATAAACCCACCGTAGGTCGTGGAGCATGTGTGTTTTCTTCTGTAGCACAATGCAAAGTGCCTGCACATTCACTGTCGCGGTGGTAGGTAGGGATTTCTCAGATAAGAGGAGGAAGGCTCAGAGAAGCTAAATTCACACCACCAGAGACTGGAGGTGCCGGGACCCAAATCTGATTCTAGCCAGGCCGGGACACTTGGTATGACACCACTCCACCTCAGCCCGGCCCTACTTACTTCAGGCAACCTCTGTGTGCCTCAGTCTCCACATCTGTAAACTGGTAGTGATAAAAACAGTGGCAACCTCCTGGATTCGTCATGAGTAGGAAATGAATTAATTTTCGTAAAGCACTTACAACAGTGCTTGTTGGCACATAGTAAACACGATTTCTGTTATTATTTTTATTATTCATACACAACCAGGGAAGAAGATTTTTTTATTATTGAACTAGAATATTTTCTCCTCACAACCCTCCCTTCTATAGCAATATTTAAATTTTGCTTTTCTTCTACATGATAAACTTCTAGAGTATTGGGATCTAGTTAATCTATATCTCAGCTAATACGAATATACCCGCTATGAATCAAATCCCAGGTGAAGCGCATTTCCTAAAGGCCTCCTCCTCCTCCAGCCACTTCCCCGGTGTGCCCTGTCCCCTGCGCACTCAGGTTCAGAGCCCTCCACCACCTGCCACCCGTTCACAGGGCCCGTGGACTCGCTCATTCTGCCCTCAGCTCACGCTGTTTCCCCAGCCAAGACGTCCTTTCCCCCCTCCACTTACCTAAGCCCTATTTACTCGAGGTCTAGTTCAAGCGTTAGGGCTTCCAGGAGCGCTTCTCCAGCTGAGGTGCTGTGGCGGGCGATGCCGGCTATCAAGCTCCTGGAGGAGGAGGAAGCCGTGAAGGTGGACTGGGCACTCCAGTACCGGTCACTGATCATGCTGTCTCCTAGCTCACGAAGGGTGCTTCTGAAACGTTATTCTCCTACCTTATCATGTATACACGAAGCCTCGGAACCGGAGTGAGTGCGGGCTACTAGACCTCACTCTGCCAAGAATTAGCTGTGTGATTGCAAGCAGTCCACTCGGGACCTGGACTTTCCCAACTGTGAACTGGAGGGTGTGGGACGAGGGCGATGTAGACGTTCCCAGAGGTCCCCTCCTGCGCTGAGATTTTCAGGACTAAGCTTAGTTGGCCTCTGAGGACTCTTTAAACAATTCTTTTTTCCTTTTTTTTTTGTCTTTTTTTTTACTGACCGCTAACGGGATCGCAACCCTCAGTGTCGCGCCCGTACCAGACCGGGACGGCAACGGTATCGCAACCCTCGGTGTTGCGCTTGCACCGCGCTCAGCCAGTGAGCGGAATCGGTCTCCACATGGGATCCGAACCCTCGGCGGGAGTGCCAAGCGGCGCAAGAGTGCGCCACCCGGCCGGCCCTAATTTTTTAATGAAGAAATCAAGTTTATTTCTTACAGTTTCAGAGGCTGGGGAGTCCAAAGGAGGACTAACTTTTAACCCCCCAAGTACCCTCACTCTCAGTGCCCTCGGCTTCCTTTCTCTAATTCCTTCTGGCCCTGCTCCTCCACGCCGATGGGTGTTTTTAGGAGGTGGGAGCGGCGGGGTGGAGGGGGCAGGACCAGCATCTTCGGCGCTGGAAATCCTATCAACCTTCACGCATAGTGCCCTAGTGTCCCGCCTTCGGAACGCCGTGACTCCAGCTCCTCTGAGCCTTTCACGCAGCGTACTCTCGCACCCAAACCACACACTCGCAATCACGGTCGGGGCAGCTGCTCCAGGACAGTCCTCTGCTTTTGGGGGGGGTGGGGGATGGGGTGTCGACATACGGAAACTCCATTTGCAAAACGGCCGCCTCCCGGGGAAATCCTGGAGGCCCCGCCACTTTATGCTGGGGCTGGAGCCTGGGACGGGGCTGCCTGGTCATCCCTGGGGAGGAGCGAGCTGGGGCCTGGGGAGGGTGTACCTGGTCGCCGCCGGGAGGAGAGCGCGCGCGGGACGAGGACGGGGCGGTGCGCCAGCGCCCTGCACCCCGCGCTTGGCTACGCCGGGTTTGAGCGCGTCACGGGGCCCCGAAAGAGGCTTCCCGGCATCGCCACGCCTGCTGAGCCCGAGCAGGGGCGGAAGAACCTGCGTCACTGGCCGCAAAGGCTCTGGAGGGTGCAGCTGTCGGGTGGCTGCAGGCAGTGAATCAAGAGTGGCCCCGGGCTGGCGCCTCGGCCTCTCCTCATGCCCAGCTGTCTTGGGCTACCGTGAATCAGCGTGTGACCAAATACTTGGCAAAGGGGACTGTGCACCGCCCTTGCCAGGCTTCTGGGCTCCTCATCCGTAACATGCAATATTAATAGTACCTACCTCTTAGAGTGGTGGTAAGAATTAAATTAGTTAATTTTAAGTGTTGTTTATTTGGCGGGGGTACAGAATTTTTCATCCTGATAGAAAATAAAAGAAAAACTAAGTATTTTTGTCTAAATACATTAATAATGTCACTTTTAAAGAGAGTTAGAAGCACCATATACAAGTATGCATCTCCAAAAATTTTAATTTGCTATGCCTGTCTTTCTTGCTGTCATGACCAGAAGTGGGCGGAGAGCTCTCTTATTATTGAGACATAATTTATGTGTAATGAGACGCAGACATTTGGTGTACTGTTCAATGAGTTTTGATGAATATGTGTATGTTTATGTATATATAGTATATATAGGTACCTGGGTAACCATAATCAAGATACAGATTATTTCCATTACTCCAGAACGTTCCCTTGTGTGAGAGCTCTCTTATTATTGAGACATAATTTACGTGTAATGAGACGCAGACATTTGGTGTACTGTTCAATGAGTTTTGATGAATATGTGTATGTTTATGTATATATAGTATATATACGTACCTGGGTAACCATAATCAAGATACAGATTATTTCCATTACTCCAGAACGTTCCCTTGTGCTCTGTCCCAGTGGATCTCCACCTACATCTCCAACCCTAGCCTAGGGGATTTTGCAGTGTTCCCCAAAATTAAGTTCACCATTGAAAATTTTCAACATCTGAGAATATATAGTCAGAGAGTTCCATAGTGAGGGACATTTTTAATACCAAGCATCCCTATAAAACTCATTGCTGTTTGAGCTTAACATGTCTGTGGAGAGTATTGTTCATATTATATAGCACTTTTTCCATAAGAATCCATAGAAAAAATTTTTCTTCGGCTTTAATATAGAGAATAACATATATTCTTATTGTTGTTAGCAATCGGTTTGCTTTTTTACTTTTTTATATTATGTATGGACCTTGCTACCATTAGCATAGACTCCTGACTCATTCAGGCTACCTGGTTTCAAACCCCAGCAACAACTCTTACTAGCTTGGGTAAGTGACTATGGATAAGGCACTTCATCTTGCTAAGCTTCACTTTGTACTGTTGTAATGTAGGGAAAATAATAGTACCTACCTCATAGAGTTAGTTTGAGGATTGCACGAAATAATATAAAAATCCTAGCACACTGCTCATCAATCACTGTAGTAATCATGCAATGAAAAATTTCTGACAGGTCAGATGTCTCTCTGTATCTGCATTTCTCATCTCTGTCACACACATGAGCCATTCTACCTTCTCTTCACACTAGCAAACACCTACTGACATCCTTTCTCCTCAGTTAAAATTGGAAAATGTTTTTGAGGCATCAAGAACATGGCCATGCAAACTGAAAAAACAATTTATCAGTTAGCATGCTTCCAGCTCCAAATAACTGCAGATAACCATCAGTCTCCCCTACCTCCAAAACACCTACATACTTACCAGGCTTAAACGATAACACTTATTAACTTATGTAACAAAATGTCTAGAGGCAAAAAGTCACCAGGGTTAATTCAGCAACTTAACATTATCATCAAAGACCCAGTTCCTCCTGTCTTTCTGCCCTACTATCCTCAGTAGGGATAGTGTTAGTTTTATTCTCGGACTGACTTTTTTAACCAGTACAAGATCACAGTGATGGTTATAGACAATGTCTATTGGAAAAAGAGAGTGTCTCTTCTTTGAAGGATGAGTAAACTGTTCCCAAAGATCACCCAGACCACTGGCAAGCAAGTTGGAGTATGCTGATCAGGGGTAGAACATCTTCCCTGAGAGATTGATACTTACACAAAAACCAGGGTTTTGTGTTGCTTTATGTTGCTTCGTCCCCCACGGATTTGTCACCCCTCTTCCCCTGGGTGACAGAGACGCAAAGAAAAATGGTGCCCCATGTGAGGAATTCCCCATGGATCAGAGACTGACCTGCCAAGCATTGGAGAGGAAAAGGACGTCTGGCTCATCCTGTCAAGGGAGTCCCTAATAAGGGAGACACATCCCGGTAAGGGAATCACAGGTGGCTTTCGATTAGCGATTGCACGCCTGCGGCAGTGTCTAATTAGGGCTTCAACGGGAGGTTTTGCTTTCTCTCTCTTTCAATTTTCTATCTATTCTTCCAGCTATGGGCATCTCGCTGTCTACAAAGGAAGCTCAATATAGGTCACAACTTCAATGTCTCCTTAAGGCAGCAGGGTATAAAGGTAACAGTTTTGTTTGCAAAGGAAACTGTGAATGTCGTTTTGCCAAATAATGATTTGGCATTTTACTGGGTGCTAGGCATTAGTATGGATGCTGGGGAGATGAAGATGTTCAAGATTTAGTATCCTTCCCCCAGTTTATTGAGGAAGATGAATCATGGGCACCTTCATTACTCACCAATACATAATCAATTGCAATGCTGAGGCTCTTGCTGAACAAATTTGTAGGATTCAGATTTGATCTCTGATATGCTTCAGGCACCTCATCCGTAAGGTGGGAACAGTGATACTTTTCTCAAGAGTTTTATGATTATAGGAATGATCTTTATATATTCTGCAGGTATTAAACACCTACTGTATACCAGTTATATGCTAGGCTGTGACACAGTCCCTGCTCTCACGGAGGGGACCCAACTGAGTGATCTCATTTTAGACAGCTGACTTATATACATGTTTACATATACATAATAAAAAATTATGTTTACATATTTGTTTTTTTAAAAACCACTTTATTAAGGTGTGATTGACATATAAAAAGCTGTACATATTTAATGTATACAACTTGATGAGTTTGGAGATAAGTGACACTTTTTTTGGTGATAACAGTAATGCATACTTTCAGTAGAAATATAGGGAAAGCTTCTAGAAATCTCTCCTAAAGAAATACCCACATGTTCACAAAGATAAATGTTTCAGGATGTTCTTCACAGAAGTGTTTCTAGTGGCAGAAAACTGGAAATAACCTGAATATCCAACTACAAGGGAGTATTAGTTTCCTTCCTCTAAATTATGGCATAACTAGAGAACTGTTTAAAATCATGAGGTAGACATGGAGATGCTCTCATGAAAAGAGCTTGGAGACCTTTTATTAAGTAAAAATATCAAATTTTAGAATGATGAATATTATAGTCTATTCATGTTTATAAAAAAGAGTTGTGTGTCTGTATGTGCATGTGTGTGTAAAATGGCTGGAATGATACACATCAAATTGTTAATAATGATTACAATTATCTCTCAGGAGGGGAATAGGAAAGTTTGCAGGTAGCAGGGAAAGAGACGGGGGAACTTTTAATCTTTTAGAGTAGAATTTTAATATATTATGTGTATAAAGAAATTTTATAAAACATAGAAGAAATAGAAACCATCCACAGTTTATCATTCAGGCTGTATATACTTATAGTCTTTATTTTATGTACTTTTTTTGGGAAAAATTGGATCATTTCATATATACAGTTTAAAACCTCTTTAAAAAACTACTTAGCTTTACATTGTAAGCATTTCTCTCTCTCATTTGTAATATTATTCCTATAATTGATTCCAGATGTTCAGATAAGGTAATACTTGAATGAACTCCCTTCCAGTTTGATAAAAAAACCTGTGAGGGGTTGGTTCTCAGTCAGTCTTCCATCACACCATGGCCAAAACTGTTTCAACAGAAGGAAAACAGAAGCAGACGATCAGAAAA